TAGGATAAAATACAATAAAACATGTGCCAAACAACATGCTAACCAGGGGATTCAGGGTGGGATTAGGGCGTGGTTAAGGAGTGGTCAATTCTCAATTGAAACTCAAGATAAGAAAAGTCCCATTATTCAAGAGAGTATCTGGTCCCAGACATCCTGGGCCCAGCGATAACAAACAGGAAGAATACTGATCAGCTCTATCTGGTCCTGGAATTTGCTGACACTGGAAGGGGTGTTTTTAGTTCGCTCAGAGAGAAAAAGATTAATGTAGGTTTTTGGCCCTTAAATGATTATCAAGGGACAGTGTTTCTGAGGCTAGGGGCCCAAGTACAAGCACCCAAATATAAGCACCTCCCCTCCTCAATAAACTCCAATGGCTCTCTGCTGCCTCTTGGGTCAAGCTCAAACTCTGTGTAGTTGTGACACCCTCACAAACTCATTTCAGCCTCTCCAAACTTTATTGTGTTGTTACTCTGCTTCCTGGACTTTTTCAGCCAAGCCAATCAGTCTTCCTGCTGTTCTTCACACATGATGCTCCAGCCCCCTTTGCACTGGCTGTCCTCCATGTGCAGAATAAACCCCCTTCTCTCCTCTGCTGCTGAGAATCCCTCACTTACCTCAAAACTCGGCTCAAGGGACACCTTTTACATGAAGCCTTCCCCGATCCTCCCATGCAGTGCCTTCCTTTCAAAAGATTTAACAGGAAAAGGACTGCCCATAGAGTCCTTAAAGTATGCCTAGATTTGCCCTTCCTGGTGGATTAGACAGAGCATATTTCCTGCCTGGCACCAACATTTAGCATTTGCTAAGCCTATTTCCAGCCATGTGTAGCTAAGCAGTTTATCCTGGGTGATAATGAAAAATTTTCTAATTTGCTTTAGAGCCTGGAGGGTCAGGAGGCACTTAGTGCACCCACTTATAAGGCAAAGACTGCTGGGAGCTGCTCTGGGTGGGGGGGAGTGTCAGCTGTCTGCATCCCCCCCCCCAGGCACTGTGGCTATGTGAGCAAGATAATTCCTTTCACAAAGGGAAAAAAGATGTCTCAGAATCAAGTCTTACGAGTTTACCCTTGGGCCACACTTGTTCTCTACATGTATTTTTTACCACCATCTCTCAAATGTGAGCCCACTTTTTCCAGGAATCTTTTGTGAGAGAGAGAGGAGGGAAAGTGTACTCCTCGTTTGGCGGGAGATGATCAATCATTTTTGTTATCAGCTGTTCTTAATGGACCATTTTAGTAAATACTTTTTCTAAAAGCTAATTGAGGCTACTGGTTGATTATTAATGGGAAGCACACTAGTGGGGGCTTGTAAGAAACAGAACCCAGCTTCAGGAGAGTAGTCAGTTGTCCTCTGGGGACCGGCCCCAACTGTGTGAGCAGGAGTTGGAGAAGTAACTCTGAAGACAGTGGGGGGGGTTGGTGGGGGGGGAAATACTAGACCTTGTGTGCGTTTTGTATGTGCTTAGATACATTCATGCCATTTCCTGTGTTAGAATGTGAGCTCCTTGAGAGCAGGGACTTTTGTCTTTATATATACCCCTGGCACTCAGCACTGAGCCCCACGTGTGGTAGAGACTTAATAAATGCTTGTTAGTTGATGGATGGCTGGATTGGCTGGCAGGAGCAAAATTAGGGTTAGAGAGCTGATCTCAGGGCGGTCAGGCTCCAGACCTCCAGGGAGGCTCCCAAAGCTCCCCAGGGAAGCCGCTTCCTGCAGTAGGCTCAGAGATCTGCTCAGTACAAGTCTTCACGATGGGAAGGTTTTCTAAGGTCGGTCTGACTCATTCCTTCCCTCATAGATGCTGGCGTTTTGTCTTTGCCACTAGACTGGAAGCTCCCTGAGGGTAGGGCAGGGACCGTCTTTTGCCTTTCACTGTATCCCCAGGGCTTGGCACAATCCCTGGAAGACAGTAGGCACTTAATACTGGCTGACTGACTCACCTCGTGGTTCAGTTGTTCAGTTGTCTGACTCTTTGTGACCCCCACAGAATGCCAGGCCCTTCTGGCCTCTACTATCTCCAAGTCTCCATGACACCACCCATCCATCTCACCCATTAGGCAAACTCTTTATTACAAGTTAGCGTTTAGATAGTGCTTTAAGGTGCAGCTTTGCTATGCATATTTTCTCTTCCATCCTCACAACAGGAGGGGCTGTTATTATCCCCATTTTATAGCTAAAGGAAATTGAGGCTGAAAGGTGAAGTAGTAATAGCTCCAATTTGTGTAGCTCATTAAGGCTGGCAAAACACATCAGGACCTCGAGGCAGGTTACTAACCCCAGGCGAGGAGAGGTTAAGTAGCAAATGCCCCCGGCAGAATTTGCATTTAGGTCTTCCAGACTCTGGGCCCACTTCTCTGGCTGCCTTCTAGAGACAGCCAGGTGGCCACAGTGGGTCCGATGGGCTTGAAGTCAGACCTAGTTCAAATCCTGCCTCAGTCGCGTACTGGCCGAATAACTCTGGGCACGTCATTTAACTGCTGTTTGCCTCAGTTTCCTCATCTGTAAAAGGGATAGCAGCATCTGCGTCCCAGGCTCGTGACGATCCAATGAGATATTGAAACAGCACTTCGCAAATCCCAAAAGCGCTCCAGCAGCGCTAGCAGCACGATGCCAGACACACAGCAGGAACCTTGCACGTTTTTGCTGCTTGACCCATAGGTTCTGTTCCTCCTCAATCAGTCTAGCTGCAGAGGTCTCCCTGTCCATGATGGGCCTCGGGGGAGAGGGCGGGCCTAGTCCTGCTTCCGGCTTTGCCTCTCCCCGTGCCTGGCACACTGCCCCGGCACGCAGTAGGGGCTTAAACCGACGGCGAGGAAACCTCTCTGGCTCCAAACTCCCTGCCTAGCCCCGCCCCCTTCCAGCCTACTGCCTCTTTCTGCCAGGCAATGGGCTCAGGTCAGCCCCCAAACAGACCCCCATCCTTCCAATCATTCTTCAAGGCTCTTGGCTCAGAGACATCTGAGACTGACCTCTCAGAGTGACCTCAGGCACCAGCAGCTCGGCCTGGAGCCCCTATTTTGGGATCTGTGCACCCCAAAAGTCAGGGAGGGAGGGAAGGAGGCTTCCCCTTTAGTCCTCAGGGGCCGTCTCTGGCAAGCCAGGGCAGTCATTGTAGGCGTGGGGAGCTCCCCCCAAGGCAGCTCAGTGGGTTCCAGGACTTGGGAAACACCTCCCAGTGCTTGCGCTTGTATCGAGCTAGGCTAGGAAGGCAGATAAGGCTAGGCTGCCTGCCCTCCTGCAGCTGGCATCCTCCTGGTCGTTGGTACCTGGAGCGATCGCTCCTAGACCTGCATACCTGCGGGCTCGCCTCAGAGGGTGCTCCCGGAGAGCGGGCAGGTCCTTTCCCCTCTTCTCCTAGCCTGGCTAACGCCCCATGCCCCCAAGGGGTGGATAAGCAAAGGCCCACCTCCAGCCCTGCCCCCCGCCACTCCCCGCATGGGATGATTAGGATGGGGGTCACTGCCTCCCCGGAGTACAGCAGGGCCGCGGGGGTCCCCCCTTCCCCCTTCTCTTCCCTCAGCCCAGACCCTACCGGGACACGAGACTCGAGACTGGTGGCCGCCCAGCCCCAGCTTCACCCATTCCTCCTCCCTTCTCCACACCTCCAGAGACCCAGTGCCTTGGACTTGGTGGGGTGGGGCCCTGGGGGCGGAGCTTGGGGCAAGGGCTCCTCAGTCCGGACCTTGGGGGGGAGGGGCTGGAGGAGGAGGGGCGGTGCTCCGAGTTGGAACCGGCCTGGGGCCAGGCTTTACGAGCCTGTCCGGCAGACCCACTGAGGCCCAGGGATCTTCTGGTTCCTTTTCTCTTCTTCCATCAGTCCGCCAGCCCATTGCTCGGGGCTGGAACACTAAGGCCAGCCAGCCATGTGGCTTTGGTGGTTCGCGATCCTAGCCAGTGGGGCTCTCTGGCTGCCCGCAGGTACTCGAGGACCTTCCGGTCTGCTGTGGAGCAGCTGTCCCGGACCCGGGGACTGGTGTGCATCTGAGGGCTGGAGCTCAGCCCTCGCGGGCCGGGGCGGTGATGGCGGGGTGGTGGGGAGACGCACACCACTGGACAGGCTGGACACGAGCGCCCTCGGGTCTCTGGGCTGGAGAAGCTTAGAAGTAGTGTTTGGTTTCGAATCTCAAAGTGGACACTGACCCATCTGGGTTGGGGGGCTGCGCGGGCCGCCCTCGCCCCTCCCAAGGTTGCCGCAGAGGGTTCAGACCCCTTCGTCCCTCCGGAGCCTTCTGCGAAGCGGCCTTGGCTCAGAGACCCCTCCGCCGAATCCCCTCTACCCGCACCTCCCCGGGCCACCGCCGGGGGTTTGTTTGCACTCAGCAGTCAATTATTTCAGTGGGAGCTTGGCCTAGGCGCAGGGTGGGGAGGGGGGCGTGCTTACGGAGGGGGGCGCCCTGGGGGAACGGCTGCTGAGGAAGCCAAGGCCCCATCCCCCGCCCCCCTGGACTGGGGCTGTCGACTCCCCCCCCCCCGCGCTGAGCTCCTGCTGTGGGGGCTCCCTGCGGGGCTCAGCAAAGCCAAGTGTCAGCCGCCGGGCTGATCGCCACTCTCTCGAGCAACCAATCCCCCACCCGGAGCCCAGCACAGAGCCCCTAAGGGCAATCCTCCGGAGAAAAAAGAACTGGGCAGGAGAAAGCCGAGAGCTTTGCCCAGCTCACCCCTATCCAGCCCAGGGCGCCCGAACTCAGTGGAGGCGCCTAGAGCCCCAGACCGGGAGGAAACCGTGAGGGAGCAGGCTGTGCTGGGGAAGGGTGCCCAGCCCGAAGGGCCCCGGACCCTCCTGGTGAACAGTGTGAATGTTACTGGGGGGAGCTCCCCTTGGTCGAGACCTGGGTGTAAATCCTGCCGTTGACATCGAGGGCCATGTGACTGACCAGGTCAGCGGCTCCTCACGGGTGAAAGGAGGGCTGTTGAGGTGTCCCTGGAGGGCAGGGGCCGTGCCTTCCTTGCAGGTGAATGCCGAAGAAGACAGACTATTGGAAAATCTCTGCCAGGTGGGGCCTTTGGTCCTCAGAACTTTAATTTAGTCATCATCAATTGGGAACCTTCCACGCCTTGGGCTGGCCTGAATGTTCAGAGGTCACTCTCTCACTCACTCATGTGCCTTCCTCTCCGCTCATCTTACTGGGTTTTAGTGCCCCAAGGAACCTGGACTGCTGGGCCCTGTGCTCCGCTGGCACAGAACATGGGCGTCATGGCCCATGGCCCGATGTGTCCACTCTCAGGAAGGCTTACTGGGGCCCCTTGGAGCCTCCCCTTCCCTTTGGCCTGGGGGAGCTGAGGCTCAGCTCCTCGAGGTCTCTCTCTTTTCAGAGGCCCTGGAGTCTTGTGCTGGGCACTGCAGGGATTTCAGAGGAAACTGCTCCTGCCATGTGACCTGTCCATCCCTGAACACCTGCTGTCCTGATTATCTGCAGTTCTGTCTGGAGATCTCGCCCTATTCAGGCTCAATAATGGGTGGCAAAGACTTTGTGGTGCTGAGTGAGCCATGGGTCTCCTCAGCCTCAGTGACCTCCGTGGTCTGCAGGTGAGTCATTTCTGGAGGGGAAAGCATGGCCATCCAAGGGAAGGGCACATTCCTGAGAGGTCTGGCCAAGAAGGGAGCCTCTGAGCTCAAGTGGGAGGCTTGAGAGGGAGGGAAGCTTCGAGATGAAGGAGGGAGAGATGAAGAGGTAGGGCAGCTGGGAGATGAAGGAGGGAGAGGTGAAGTGGGAGGGCAGCTGGGAGGTGAGGAGGGAGGGCAGCTGGGAAGTGAGGAGGGAGGGCAGCTGGGAAGTGAGGAGGGAGGGCAGCTGGGAGGTGAAGAGGGAGGGCAGCTGGGAGATGAAGGAGAGAGAGATGAAGAGGGAGGTCAACTGGGAGGTGAGGAGGGAGGGCAGCTGGGAGGTGAAGGAGGGAGGGCAGCTGGGAGGTGAGGAGGGAGGGCAGCCCAGACCTCAATATGCCTGCCTTCAAGGGACAAGGGACAGACACATGGGGCTGACACTCTGTCCAGGCAAGGGAGGGAAGCAGGAGTCAGAAGGGGCTGGAGGGGGCAAGTGACCCTGCTTACAGCCCTCCCCCAGCTGCCCTGAGTCTTCCCTCTTTTTGCCCAGGAGAAGCCCGCAGCCCTCTAGAATGACACTGGTTTGAGCTGGTTTGTGTGGTGAGAGCCCACATGGGAAAGAAGAGGAGGAGGAGCCATGCCTGGGGAGAGTCCCTGGCTGGGGTTATACTCGTTCTCCTTGTCAGACAGGTGTCAGGTCAAGCCAAATTAAATCACCAAACATTTGTTTAGCACACAGTAAGGGGGCAGAGAAGTGTCGAATCTGAGTGAGCTGAGACTTCCAAAGTGTCCTGTATTGACCCTTCTAAACAGTGATGCCTGGGGGAGTCTTCTCTCTAGCACCTGAGAGCTGGGAGCTGGGGTGAACGGCTCCCAAGGTCAGAGCCAGAAGGGTCGTAACAACCCTTAAGTCTGACTCAGAAACCAAAGGAATACTCCCTAGAGTAGACTCAGCCACTGGGCCTCCAGCCTGTTTATGGGGGGAAGCCAGCAGCTCTTGAGACAGCCCTTTCCACATTGGGACAGACGATTTTTAAGAAGGTTTTCCATGCACCTAGCCTGAAAGTACCTCTGGGTAGCTATCCCCCCACCTCAACCCCTCCCCCACACATGTTGTTCTGTTTGTAGAACAAAGCTAGTATCTCCCTTCAGGATGACCCTTCAGACACAGGAGCCCAGTTCCCATGAGGCCCCTGGGTCTCTCTTGTTTGGGCTGAGCATGCCCAGTTCCTCCAGCTGATTCTCTGCGGTGGCCCTTCCCTGACCTGTGCTGGCTGCCCACCCACCTCTTCCCTGGGACCCTTCCCCCTAGCAATGCCCTCCTTAAAGCACAGTTGGCTCAGAACTGACCGCAGGACGATGGGGCCTGTCTGAAGAGCACAGAGGCCCGGGGGGCCGTGCTGCTCCCGCCTGCCTCTCCGGGCGAGTCTCAGGGTTTCTCTTAAGCTGCCTTCTCCATGCTCTCTTTTTGGTGGTCAGGTTTCGAGAGGCCATCCACACTCAAGGCTATGTGGATGATGAGGGCAGGATCCATTGTGTATCACCCCTCCTGTACGAAAGTGGGCGGATTCCATTCAGCGTGTCCCTGGACGGAGGCGAGACGTTCCCTAGCTCTGGGACCTGGCTGGCAGGTAACAGCACCCTGCTCCGTGGGGCTCACAAGTGCCCCACAGGAATGTCTCCTGGGCATTCCCCTCATCCATCCTCCTTAGCGAGCCTGCAGAAGGCCTCATGCCCATATCACAGAACGGGATGCTGAGGCCCAGGCAGGGCCAGGCATGAGCTACAGCTACACTGCCCCCTTCACTTATCAGAGTCAGGCCAAATGACGCTCCTCTCTTGGTGCCTGGCTCCTGAGCCTGTTCGCCACATGGTGGGACCATCTTGGACTCCTAAGGACTCTCTTAGAGCCAGTGGCAGGGTCCTCAGAGACCCCTGAGACCCAGAGAGGGAAAGGGACAGGTCTGAAGGCACACAATGTAGTAAGGAGGGCCCAGCCCAGAACAGAGGTGTCTGAGGCCCAGCCCACTGGCTCACAGTTTCTCCTAGGCCTAATCCCCTTCTCTTAAACCCCTTCCCTGCCCCACTCTGACTCCTGCTGTGGACTGGACACCTGGCTCCCCTTGCCCTGGGTGGGGCACAGAATGGTGGGAGGCTTCTAGTACAGCTTCAGCACATATGGCTAAGGGAGGCTGGGCAGGGGTCCCAGATGCTTCCCAGATGAGCCAGGCCCCTTCCTCCTCAGCTGCCTCTTGGCGCCAGGGCCTCTGAAGGGACTCTTCCAGAGTGGAGGGGCAGGCCCCAGGTGCTGAGCCACAGCGCGTTTCAAGCCTTGAGGATAACTCAGTAAGCCACATCTCCTGTCAGACCAGTCCCAGGATGGGACCAGACCTAAATCAACTCTTCCTGGCACCAACCTTCCCATAACGTAGCCAGAGCTGGCAGGAACCTCAGAGGGAGAGGGAAAGGGTCTGACCCAACCTCTACTCCACTTGGCAAGTCTATGTGACCATGGTACATTCCACTCCCCACCTGGCCCTGCCTCAGTTTCATCATCTGTAACATGAGGAACTTAGGCTGGATGAACTCCAAGATCCTTTTCTGTTCTCAGTCTATGACCCTCTTTACTGGGCTTTTGCCTCTCCTGGCCTCAATTTCCCCAAAAGGAATCCAGGTTCTCTGATCTCAACTCTAGGATTCCTTCCTGTAGCTACCTTGTATGGTCAGATGAGGGGGCCTTTGGTCTAAAGCAGACATTCTTTTCCCAGCAGCCCTTTCACTTCCCGGCTCCCAATTTTCTCCTATGTCAGGTGGGAAGGCCTTAAAGCACCTTCCTAGACCCCTGCTCTTTTTTCTGACGTCAGCAGCTCCACTGAGTTGAGTGATTGTCTCTTGTCAGGGGCTCACGTTCCCAGCCTCATCCTCTGCCTAGGGCTTCTGTTCCCCATCACGAGCTGCTTCACAGATTCCCCAGGCACACCTCAATCTCACTGGCTCCCAAACTGAACTTGTTCTCTTCCCCCAAGCCCACCTCCTGTTGATATTAGGGGAAACTTCCCAGTCTTGCAACTTGGAGATCTTGGTTCTTCCTTCTCCCACATCCCCCATATCCAAACTGTTGCCAAGGCCTGTCCATTTCATCTCTGTTACATCTCTGGTCCATTTCACCTCTGCAGCACCTCTGGTCCATTTCATCTCTGCTACATCTCTGGTCCATTTCACCTCTGCAGCACCTCTGGTCCATTTCACCTCTGCAGCACCTCTGGTCCATTTCATCTCTATTACATCTCTGGTCCATTTCACCTCTGCAGCACCTCTGGTCCATTTCATCTCTGCTACATCTCTGGTCCATTTCACCTCTGCAGCATCTCTGGTCCATTTCACCTCTGCTACATCTCTGGTCCAATTCATCTCCGCAGCATCTCTTCAATACCCCCCTTCCTCTCCTCTGACACTGTCCCCACCCTCATCACCTCACACCTGAACTATTTTAATAGCTGCTGTAGGGAGAGGTCTGCCTTCAAGTGTCTCCCCACTCCAGCCCATCCTCCAGTCTCCTACTTAATTCTAGTGGCTCCACATTGTCTCCAGGACCAAGTACAAAATGTGCTCTTCAAACCCTCAGCCCTTTGCTCAGCAGATGACATCCAAGGGTGTAGATGCTTGTCACATTCCTGTTATGGGGGAAGGGGACAGGGAGGCACTTGTTGCTCAGTAGCAGGGATTCAGAGATAAGCATGATCCAGGCCCTGCTCAAGTCCTGCTAGGCAGAGAAGGGCGGGGATAGGGAGTGAAGACTGTATGAGAGCAGGGGATGGAGAGTCCTGGTGGAGAGCAGGTGCTGAAACTAAGGCTGGCCCCCACAGGGAGCCCCCTTGGAGGCCAGGATTGCAGGCCTCTAGCCCCAGACCTGGCAGGGCCCTCCCAGGCCAGTGTGGTCACACCCATCTTCTCTCAATGAAGCATTTCTGCCCCATGGAGGGGAAAGGCCTAGGCCAAGGTCACAGACACAGAGGCTGTAGTGTAGCATCAGGATTCCAATCCCAGGGCCTCTGCCCATGGGTTTTCCTTTTCTTTGGTCAGCCTTAGGGAAGGAGCTTCTGAAGGTTACTGGGCAGAGCAGTTGCCCAGGGTAAGTCCTGTGCTTTGAGAAGGGCCTGTGGAGGGAGGGAAGGAGGGAGGGAGAGTCCTTGGACCATCTGCCCTCCAGGCTTTGACCCCTTTCTGAAGCACCTGAAGGGACTGGGTCACTGAGCTCTCAGTGGCTCTCAGCCTAAGGGACCTTTTTCTCTTGCTCCCTTCCTCACTCACCGTCCCGCCTACCTTCCCCCAGTCCATCCCAACAAAGTGTCAGGATTGGACAAGAGTGAGCTGATCAATGAAACCATGTGGCAGTATTATGGGACTCCAGGGGTCACTGGCAACCTCACCCTCTCCTGGAACAGCTCCCTGCTGCCTGAGCCCAGAGTCAACATCGAGCTGTGGGGCTATCAAGAAACAGGTGAGGCTGGGCTGGAAAGGGTGCGGCAGCGTGGGCAGCTGGATATAGGTGGTGTACAATGGGGGAGCATAGGACTCAGAACCATGCTAGAACTGAGGGGCCTTAGAGGGCATCAAAGCTAGCTAATAAGGAAAACTGAGGCTGAGAGAAAGAATGGATTCAAGGGCACTTAGGCAGATAGGAAATGACAGACAGGTTTGCTCAGAATGGCCTCGGAGGTTTGGTGAGTAGGAGGCACTGAGAGGCCAGGCCTGGGGCTGAACTCTTTTTGTCCCCTTTCAGGCAAGCCCTACTCTGATGAATGGGAGGCTGAGTGGTCGTACCTCTACACCCTCGCCAGGAACTTCCCTAACGGGAACAACTTCACCTTCACACCAATGCCAGCCACACCCCAGTACCAGGCGTGGGAGGTGGGTGCCCTGCGCATCTCTGGGAGCAGCCACACTGATGGCAAGAGGTGAGGCCTGGAGGGATCTACTGGGCCCTGGAGCCAGGAGCTGGCCAGGCCCCCTCTTTCTGGGTCTCGTTCTCCTGGGACCAGTCATTTGGCGTGAGTGCTGGTGTTCAGTAGCACTGGAAGAGATTTAGACAAGAGCAGTGGTGGAAGGCCCCAGACCTGAAGGGTGGCAGGCCACAGCCCGGGAGCGGGACAGAAGGACAAGGACAGTCTAGAAAGAGGACAGAGTAGTCGCCCTGAGCAACTTGAGGCTCAAGACTAAGATGGAAGAGAAGTGAGACTGGAGGACCAAGGAAAGCCTGGCAGAAGAGGAGGCTGGGAGTGGGAGGGGGAGGGGGAAAGAGGCCAAGGGTGGGCTGGCAGACCAGGAAGCCACTGAGGCTGGGAGAAGGGGCAGGTGTGGAGGAGAGTGGGGGTGGGGTGCTAAGGGATGGCTTCCAGCTCCCTGGGGGTGGCCAGGGGGTGGCGGGCATCTCCTTGGGGCAGCCAGTTGGGAAAAGTGGGAGAGAAGCAGACAAGGATAAAAGATCCCTAGAAGATGAGCTCTCTGAGGGCAGGGATTTCTAGACGCCTAGTGCCTAGCACAGTGCCTGAGAAGGAGCCCGACCCACCTGGGAGAGGGGGCAGGAGTGTTTTTGTCCGGCCTGGGGAGCTGGTGTCCCTGAGAGCCAGTCACTGAGCGTGGAGTCCCAGGAGGGGCACTGGACATGGGGGGCAGCGATGAGGCCACAGGAAGAGAAGGCATGGGCAGACCTGGGTGGGGGTCAGCCCAGGAGGGAGCTGGGGGGGGGAACTGCGGAGAGTTCAACCAGGAAAGCTGTGCCAGCTTGGGCTGTGGGCCTCAAGAGGAGTTGGCTCAACATCGCTGGAGGCCTCTACTTAGATACTGGGTGCTCATGGCTGGGCACTGAGGTGGGGGGCTGTCAGGGGAGCCCACGGATGGATGCTCAAGGTGGGGGGGTCTGTCAGGGGTGGGGGGGCTGTCAGGGGCACCCATGGATGAATGCTCAGGGTGGGGAGATCTTGTCAATTGCACCCCCATTGGACCAGAGCCCACCAAAGTCCCTGTGGTTCTCAAGCCTGTGTTCTCCTTCCAGGTATAGCTCAGGGCCCCCTCCCCCTGAGCAGCTGAGTTGCCCCCTCTGTTACTTGGTGCATTCTGTTCCCGGCCCCACGTGGGGCACACAGTTGGCACCTTAGCAATGCTCATTGAAGGAAGCCAAGGGTCTCTGGGGTCCTGGGCAAGAACCATAGGGGGTTCAGGTGCTCAGGGCCAGCCTCACTGGGCCACTGCCTGCGTCTCCTGCAGGGACGTGCCTGCAATCTGGAGCAATGAGCACGCCTTAGCCTGGCACCTTGGGGAGGATTTCCGTCGGGATTCTGCTGCCTGGGCCACCGCCAAGTGCATGAACTGGGTGGCGCTGGACAAAAAGCTGCCCAACTTCCTGACAGAGTTGATGGATTGCCCCTGCACCCTGGCCCAGGCTCGGGCTGACACCGGGCGGTTCTTTGTGAGTGTTGGCCGCGGGAGGAGGGGAGTCCAGCCTCAGTGTTCAGGGTCGCAGAGCTTATGGAGGGGAGGTGGAGGCTGAGAGTGGCTGGTGACCTTGGCCAAGTCACTGAGGCCCAGAGTTAGGAGGGTCCCCCAGGGGCCTTCACTCAAAATGGGCTGGTCTCCAGGGTCCTTCCTGCTCCAAGGGCCAGAGGCTGCATTGATGCTTCTAGGAGGGGGCAGAGGGGAGGGTGAAGTTGGGCTGGGGGCAGCTTAGCTGATGCCTGTGTCTCCTGCAGACCGATTATGGCTGTGATATCGAGCAGAAAAGTGTGTGCACGTATCACCCAGGGGCCGTGCACTGCGTGCGGAGCGTACAGGGGAGGTAAGGGGCAGCTTGGGGGCATGGATCTCCCCTCGCATGTGGCTGCCAGCTTGTCCTCAGCTTAGCCAGATTCTGGGAGAGCCCCAAACTCAGCTGTGATGGGGGCATTCGAGGCTCCCTTTAGCTGGGCCCTGGGTATTCCCTGCAAAGCTGTCCCCATTCCTAAGCCTAGTACAGCAAATGACCTTGACCTCATGTCCCCTTAGTTTCCCCGTCTGTACGTGGCCCACCTCATCTAGTCTGCCCAGGTCTGGAGTCAGACAAGTGAGGGGAGGGCTGGCCAAACTGGGGGTCACTCTTGTCCTGGTTGTCATGCTCTGATCCCCTTGTCCACTCAGTCCCCGCTACGCCTCGGGTCAGCAATGCTGCTACTCGGCGTCGGGGACACAGGTGCTGACGTGGGACACGTCGAGCGGAAGCACGCCAGACCGTGGCCATGACTGGGGCACATACCCCTACAGGCGCCCTCCTCGGGTGCCTGGCCTCTCCCACTGGATGTATGACGTCATCACCTTCTACTACTGCTGCTTGTGGTCCCAGAACTGCAAGCTCTACTTAGATATGCGGCCCTCAAGTGACTGCCACACATACAGTCCTCCTCACCTGGGTGAGGAGCCTGGGGCCATGCCAGGGAGCTGCTGGGGGGGGGGGACAGATGGACAGGGAGCTGCTGGTGGGGAGGGGGCAGTATGGACAGGCCAGGGAGCTGGAGAGGTGGGGTGTGGGACAGGCCAGGGAGCTGGAGAGCAGGGGGTGTGAGACAGGCCAGGGAGCTGCTGTGGGGAGGTGGGAGGCAGGACAGGCCAGGGAGCTGGAGAGCATGGGGTATGGGACAGGCCAGGGAGCTTCCAGGGTGTTGGGGGGGGGTGACAGACAGGCCAGGGAGCTGCTGGGGTGGGTTGGAGCTAGATGGGGAGCCTGGTTAGGTGAGGAAGGGTCATATACAGGGAGGCAGCATTGCTTGAGCAGGGACAGTCCATGCCGGACCACTCCCCTTTCATTGAGGCAGCTGGAGACATCTTTTACTTGTATTTTAGCAGAGTTTGGTTAAATCTCTCATATTCTTATGAGAAAGGAAGATGAAGATGTGGAGTCTAGGCACATTCTTGGTGGGACTTGGGACTGGTCAAAAGGTCAGCGTCAAAGAGCGGGTCTGTGACCATCTTGGCGAGGGCCTCCAGGGAGGCCCGTGGTCTTTGGGCAGGCAGGGGGTGTGGAGGCTGCTGGGGGAGGGAAGGGCAGGTGGGATCCCTCCCCCAGAGGTCCAAGCCATCCCCTCCACTGTGGAGCCCTGTGGTGCCCGACCCCTGCCCATGACCAAGAGTTGTTCTGTGTGCCAGCCTCGGCCTTTGGAGACCCTCACTTCCTTACGTTTGACGGCGTTCACTTCACATTCAATGGCCTTGGAGAGTACGTTCTGGTGCAGTCTGACCTCACCAAGCTGATGGTGCAGGGCAGGACCCAGCCACCCTTGACATCCAGTGGTGAGTAAGGGACGCTGCTAACCTGTGGTTCCTGCCCCCGCCCCCAACACCTCACCTTCCCCAGCAGAGAATGATCAGTGGTGTTTGCTGTTAGGGTTTCCCAAGAGTTTTATAGGTGCCATCTCCTTGGCACAGAGAGGTTAGGTCCCTGGCCAGGTGCCAGACACCTGCTAGAAAGCCTCACACAGGATGTGAATGCAGGTCATCCTGACTCCAAGTCCAGAACTGTAGCCCCTCTTGGCTGAGACCCGCCCGGAGGAAGGCAGAGAGAGCCAGGGCCCAAGGGCAGAGCTCACGTCAGGGAGTCTTCTGGAGGGGACAGGCAGGTTCTGAAGGAGGTGGTGGGAGATTGCCCCCCTCAGGGAAATTCCATGGGACTCGAGAATCCATGAAATGGTGGGGGGCAGAGCCAGGAAAGAAGGACTTCTCCACCATCAAGGCTGGACAGAGGTGCAGGCGTGGGCTGAGCTCAGGCCTCAGGGCTTGCTCCAGAGTGGGGAGGGTCACACTGGCCCAGCCGGGGCCTGGCCAGTAGCCTGGGCTCTCCACCCTGCAGGTGCCCAGGCCAATGCTACAGGCCTCTCAGCAGTGGTGGTGAAGGAGAATGCCTCGGATGTAGTGGAGGCCCGGCTCGGGGGTCCAACTGGGAGGACTCTGCAGGTGTTGCTGAATCAGGAGATCCTGAACTTCAGTGAGCAGAGATGGGTAGACCTGAAAGGTGAGACTCCTGGTAGGGAAGGGACGCTGCTGGGCCTGGGAGGGGCTTCTGAGCCCGCTCCGCTGGTGGGGCCCTATAGCCTCGGAGGCAAGGAGAGGGCAGGAGCAAGCAGTGGGGCCAGGGCTGTGGGCACTCAGTCCTGACCAAGGTGCCCAGACATCTGCCAGGCCCTTGGCCACCGGACTTCCGAGCCCCGACCTGGGCTGGGCAGCAGCCACCCGTGGGGAGGCCAACATTCCTCAGGAGGCAATGGCTCAGTTTGGGGAGGTGGAGTAGGGCAGCTGGATGTGGGTGGATGACAAGGCGGCCCCAGGCAGAGGGGTCCCTCTGTCCCCAACACAGCCACAGCAGCGTTCCTCATTCAATGGTCCCTATGCACTGATCGTGGTCTGGGTCCTGTGTCCCTCAGTTCTCCCTCCACCTCCCCTGCAGGGCCTCATCCCCCTTCTGACTGGCTCCCCCAGCCCCTGCTCTGCTAATCCAGCCAATATTCCTCCTTCCAGCTCTCAGGGACCTGATGTGACCCTTGCAGGTCACACCTGGCTGCGCACCTACACCTGCCGCAGTGCCTAATACCTCCCATATGGGCGGATGGAGACTTGCCTACTTTCTGCCCTATTCTTACTTGTAGGTCTAGGAGTCACTCAAATTCTCTCAGGGTCCAAGGGATAACCTGGTCATGGAGAAATGCAACCACCCCCTTTCCCCCAGCTCACTACTTTAGTTCATGAGACCCCACTGATGTGTTTTCCATTTACACAAACCTGCTACTCCTGATGACACTTTGCATCTTAAACATAGTAATTTACTTTGCAAAAGAAACAGTCACATTGTGGGTGCTCATACATGAAAGGAAATGTGTGAATAATCAAAAATAAGGCCACAATGCACACTTCAACCTTGACAATATTCTCCCACAAATGCACTCAGAATCTGTGGGAGAGAGTGGGTATATACTACAGAAACCTCGCAGATAAGGAGGCAGACAGGCAGGAAAACCCATGTGCTCAGGATAACTCACAACTCTGGAACTGTCAGCTTCAGGGTGCTTTCTGCCTCGAGGATTGCCCAGAGAAGTCTCTTGATGCACACAACTTGTGGTCTGAGCAAATGCTTGAGGCACAACACTTCCCTGGCCACCGTAGTTTGGGACCCCAACTGGATATGTTCCTTCTCCACAGCAGGTGCTGTGCACATCACTGCCAGCCCTGGACGTAGCTGATAAGAATTTCCCTTCCCCTTGTCTCTTTCTGGGTTCAGATTCTGGGTCCTTATCGCCAGGCCAGTGACCGCACCTTAGCTCAAGGGCAGTAATCAAGTTCTCATTTTCATCTACACAGAGGTCACTTGCCTCTATCTCAGAACTCTTGAGTCAGAGTAACTTTGCTAGCTGGCTTGGAACCCTGTCCCCAGACAGAGCAAGTGAGCTATCAAGGCAGACATAAACTGCCCCATGTGAAAGGGCTAGTGCTGCACACTGAGCAGTCTCTGCCCCACTGGTATCTGAGTAAAGATCCCAGAGGAACGGCCATTCAGCCTCGGCTTGGGGCCCTCTAAAGAAGGAAGAGTCCAGGGGCCTGGGTTCAGATGCCGCCTCTGACATTTACTGTCTGTGTGGCCTTGGGGAAGCCAACAAGCTGCCTGGGGCTTGGGCTAGATGGCCCTAGGATTCTGTGTCTGCTAAGGCAGCCCAATCTACTCTGGAATGGCCGTCTTTGTGACACCCAGCCTCCCTCCCTCCGCCCTTCCCTCATTGCTTCTGTTTTCTGCACACCTTCCAAGGCTGAGAGGCAGCCAACCCACCCTTCCCCAGCCTTCTCATCTGCAGACTGAACACGCCCATTCCTTTGGCTGGTGGTCCTATGGCGGGTGGTCTTCTGGGCCCTTTGGCATGCTGGCTGCCTGCTCTGGATCCTCCCCTTCTTAATCTTGGAGGCCCAGCCCCTCTACAGCAGCCCAAGCCTGGATCTGTTCTCTTAGCTTCCAGGCTGCTGCTCTCTCTTAGGGAGCTCATAGGCCCCTGGGCCCCAGTGCTTTTTCTCAAGTTTCCCATCTTCAGTCTTTAGGGGGTTGGCTCTTTCAAGAGGTCCCTGTTATCCCACTGACAATGTGGGGGCACCTCAGGCACTAACCACAGGAAGAAGGGCTTGGGGTGCGCTCTGGGCCTCCTCAGCTGCCTCAGGGTCCTCTTGGGGACCCTTGAGGAAGGGCTGCCCATCGCTGAATGTCCTTGGGAGGGGCTGATGTTGGCAGACTCATCCTCCCCACCTCCCTGGGCTGGGCTAAGGAAGATGGGATGAAGGGAGGGCCCACCACCCATCCCCCATGCCCCCAGCCTGAGTCCCTATTCCTTTCCCAGGCATGTTCCTGGCGGTGTCTGGGGACCGGAACGTGTCGGTGATGCTGAGCTCAGGGGCTGGTGTGGAAGTCCAGGCCCACGAACACTTCTTGAGTGTGAACATCCTTCTTCCTGAGGAATTCCTCAATCACACTCAGGGCCTCCTGGGCACCCTGAACAACATCCCGTCTGATGACTTCACCCTGAGGAATGAGACGGTCCTGCCCCCTGAAATCACTTCTGAGCCCCACAAGCTGTTTGAATTTGGAGCTGACTGTGAGTAATGCCATGTCTGGGAGGCAGGCCATGATGACCTCCTGCTGGGCCAGGGCCACGATGGACAGGCAGGGTGGGTACTGCTAGCCCATTTAAGAGATGAGGAAACTGAGGCAGACAGGGATGCCATGAAGGGTTGGCCAGCTCTGGCCTTGCTCCTGGCCCTTTGGAGCTAGGAAAGGCTTCAGAAGCCATTGCTCCAAAAGAATGACCCGAAAATCATCCCCAGCAAAGGGTCTTTTTTTTTTTGCCTGAGACAGCCCTCCTGACCCTCCCCCCCACTCCCATTCAAGTTCATTGAGCATTTATGGAGCACCTTCTGGATACCAGGCTCTGCTTGCGCCAGGCACAGGGCATACAAAGACAGAGGAAATGGGTCCTGCTGCCTCTGACTTGTCCCTTTTCCACATGACGGCTTAGAGACTTGGGCACCTGGCCCTTCCCCTGAGCCTTCTCTTTCCAGGCTAAACCCCCAAATATCTTCGGTTCAGTTCAGGGAGAGGCGTCCTAGTTGCCTACTGTGTGCTCGGCCCTGGGGGTCAGTGGGAAGTCAGGAATGCAGCAGCTTACCCTCAGCCAAGAAGCGTTCACACATCCAGCTCAGTGCTGGGGACGCGAGAAGAGGTAAAGGCAGTGCCGGCCCTCAAGGCAGTCCCCCTCTAATGGGGAGTCAGCCAGCTCACAGCTGCGTACAAACAAGAGGCTGACAGAGTGAAGGGGAGAGGGTCCGGGGGAAAGCAGCAGTCTAGCGCTCTGCTGCTCCCATCCAGGATGCTGGGAGTCCACTCCTCCCTGCTCCAGGGCCAGATGTCCCGCCTTCCCCTTGGGGGAAATTCCTGCCATGTTGGTCCTGATAAACAAGGGTGTCATCACGTGTGGGGAACATGGCCAGAGGCCAGGCAGTGCTGTGCCGGGGCAGTAGGTGTTGTGGCCCCGGGGGCCTGGGAGTTGCCACAGATCAGATGTGTTCCCATGGAATGAGGCATGTTTCTGAGGTTTGTCTTCTCTGAATACCCCATTAGGGGTAGGGGATCTCCTTTGAGATAGGAACACTGTGCCGAGCTCTGCCCACGCAAGCCCAAAGCTCTCTCCTCAGCCTCCAGGGTGACCTTTTCTGGGGTCAGAAACTCCTCTCCTTCCCCTCCTCATTGAAGATCAAGTAAGACATGAGCCCCCACAGAGCCTGGATTTGTGCCAACCAGCCTTGGGGCCTGGAGTCTCCTGGTCTTTAGACTGCCTCCCACTCTGCTCTTCTCTGTCTGACCGAGACCAAATGAGGGGAAAAGAAGGGGTGGAAACAGCCACCAGCCGTCAGTTCATCAGGAGACATTTATTAAATACCTACTGTATGCCAGCTGGGTGGTGCCAGTGGATAGAGCACCGGGCCTATAGTCAGGAAGACCTGAGCTCAGATCCAGCCTCAGATGCTTACTAGCTGAATGGCCCTCGGTTTCCTCATCTGTAAAATGAGGTGGAGAAGGAAATGGCAAACCCCTCCAGTATCTCTGCCAAGAAGACCCCTGGTGGGGTCACAGGGAGTCAGACATGACTGAACACCAGGTGTATGCCAAGCTTTCCGTCCTTGGCCAGGCCCAGCCCCTGGACATATTGTGGCTGCCCCAATGCTGGAGGGGCCTGAGCAGGGCCCGGGGGGGAAGGGCTCATCCTCCCCATTCTGGCACCTTGATCTTAATGAGTCCAAGATGATTACACCAGCTTTCTCAGCGCTCTTGCTGACAGTAGTGGGGGCTGAGCCAGGCCACTGGGGCTCTAGCCGAGACAGAGGGAGAAGGGCTGGGGGGGACCCTTGCTGCTCTGGCTCCCCCTTCATCAACAGCACCCGTGCTGTGCGTGTCTCCCTAGGGGCCATTCGGAATGACTCTTCCCTGTTTACCTACGATTCTCCCACTCTGGTGGACAACTACTTACGCCCGCCCAAACACGACTCCGCCTTCCTGCCTGTGTTCACACAGGGGCCCCTGACACCCCAAGTAGCCAGCCTCTGTGGGGGCGACCTCTTCTGTCAGTTTGATGCCCTTGTCACTGGGAGTCTGGACATTGGCAATGCCACAAGGGTAGCCCACCTGCAGCACCAGCATCTGCAACAGAGCCTGCAACCAGGTGAGAGGGGGAAGTGGGGAAGGAGTGGTAATGTGAGGGGGCAGAACCTATGGTCAGGTGGGGGGATTACCTGTGATCAGGTAGGGGGCACATGGTCAGGTGTCAGGAAGGGCTCCGGGAAGCTTCCTTTGATTCCCCAGCAACAGGAGATGAGGAAGAGGGGAAAGGAAGGGGCTCATGCAAATAGCCTCCATTTTCAGCAAAATATGAGGCAGGTCTCAGCTGAGAGAGTGGAGGGAGAAGCACCATGGGAGGTTTGAGGAGGGCTGAGGAGGTGAGGCAGAGCTGCTGGGGAGCACAGGGAGGGCGTGGAACAGCAGTCATTCATCACTAGGAATGAAGGAAGAGGAGGATGGTGGCCTGCTCCAAGGCTGAGGCTTGGTTGGAGGCTCTCTAAGGGTCCAGATGGGGAAGGGAAGAGAGTGTGGTCAGTGCAAGGGAGACAGTCTGGGAGAGAACCAGAAGCAAGGGGCCGGTGAGGTTTAAGACCCAGCGTAGGGGCTGCACCTGCATGGAGAGCTTGTGTCACATAAGGGTGTCCTGGGGTTCGTGGGCTCCCCGATCTTTGGGCAGTGACTGAGCCTTTGCGGTTCTGACCTCCTGGGCTTGGGTTGACTTCCCAGTGGTGTCCTGCGGCTGGCTTTCTGCACCAGAGTATGGGAAGAAAAATGGAACCAGCTACCTGGAGGGCTCCACTGTCAAGTTCAGCTGTGAACCAGGCTATAAGCTAAGAGGCTCCCAGGAGCAAACCTGCCAGCCCAATGGGCAGTGGTCAGGAGTCTGGCCGCAGTGCAAGCCAGGTAAGGGCTTGGCTGCTTCCCCCTCCCAGTGGGTGGCCTGGAGCCTGGGCCCAGGGGGTCCTCCCCATCGTGGCCTGAGGGAATGGCCATGCACAGCTCCGTCCCCTGTATGTAGGCTTCCCTGCCCCCAGCCCCTGAGCAGCCTTTTACCTTGCATCTTTGCTCAGATGTCCCCTATGCCCCTGGCCAAGATCCAGTGACCGTAGCTGGGTGCTAATCATAAAGGCTGCCTCCTGGGAGGGGAGGGACATGTCTCTCCAGAGGCTGAGGGCCAGTGGTGTCCCAAGAGGTGCCCCTGGGAGGGCCCCAGGACTCAGGCTGGGATGGGGTCTCTCTCACCCCACGCCTTTCTTCCATTTCTCTGTGTCTCCTTTAAACCACAGATCATACCGTGCTACTGGGAGTCATCTTTGGTGTGCTATTGGTGGTGGCTCTGGCTGTCCTGGGCTACGTGATGCTGAAAAAGAGGAGAAGGAGGATGTAGGGCATCTTGCAGACATGGATTCCATCCCACACCTGAGTATTGTGCCCACCTGGGGACTCATTCCTCACTGGGGTGCTCATCCCTCACTGGGGGCTCATCCCCCACCTGATTACCCCTGTCCACCAGGGTGCTTATCCCCCACCTAGGGGCCCAGCCCCCACCTCGATGCCTATTTCTTACCTGGACGGCCAGCCCTAACATGACGCATATTCCCCACCTGGATGTCTACCCTTCCCCCGCCCCAGTCCTTCTCTTTATGGTATTTATCTCCAGTATTGCAACCCCGCTCCTGACACGGACATCCATCACCAGCCTTGTATCTGTTCCTAGCCTGGCATCCATCCTTCGCCTGGGCAGCCATCCTCAGCCTTGCGTGCACCCCTAACATGGTAGTCATCCCCAATTTAGCTGTCTGTCCCTCATGTGGCATTCATCCCCGATGTGGGGTTCAACTCCAACATGGTGTCCATCCATCCCCCGCCTGGTGCTTGTCCCCAAGATGATGCCATTCACCAATCCCCAACACTGCCCCGCAGGAAGGAGCTGGACTCTTTCTGAGTCTCCTTCAGGAGTGAGAAGACTTCCCCTTCACCCCAGAGGAGGCAGGGGCCCCTGCACCGAGCATGCTAGGGCTGTGCCCTCTCTTTCTCCCGAGGAGGAGGGAGTGGGGAGCTGAGACAGTCCCTCAACTTGGGAAGGACCCCTCCCCCCTACCCCTGCCAGGCTCTGCTATTTTGAGCTGTTCTTCCTGGGAGGGCCTGGAATGTGTTGGAACTGCACAGTCTCAGTGGAGAGCCATGATTCCGTTCATTGATTTTTTTAAAAATAAAGATATTCCACAGTCACCATTTCCTGAGGCTCTTCTTTCCAAGGCTAGTATGTGAAGATGGGCAGGGGTCAGAGAGCAACCCCTTGCCCTTGAGGGAGCAGAACCAAATACTAACAATGTACTAACACCAAAGGAGTTAGTACATTGAGGGGTTGGGGAAGGCAGACAGTGTACAGGATGGGATGAGGGCACACTGACAGGTGGGGGAAGAAGGTTGCATTGGAAGTGGTTCCTGAAACACGAGGGAGAATTAGGCAGAGATGAGAGCAGCTAGGGGCACAGTGGATAGAGTGTTGGACCTAGAATCAGGAGGACCTGAGTTCAAATCCAGTCTCAGACCCTAGCTGTGTGATCATGGGTAAATCATTTCCTCATCTCTAAAATGAGCTAGATCACTGCGTTGTCATGGCGGAGGGACTCGCATTGAGCTAAGCCATGCAGGGTTACCCAAGACGAATAGGTCTAGGAGAGATTTCTGACAAAAGGTGATCAATCCACTGGAGATGGAAATGGCAAAGGACTCCAGTGTCTTTGCCAAGAAAATCCCATGGACAGTACAAAAATGATAAGAGATGCCGCTCAAAGATGAGCCCCTCAGATTGGAAGGTGCCTCAGACACTGCTGGGGAAGAGCTGAGGACAACTACCAGCAACTCCAGTAGTAATGAAGTGTCTGAGCCAAGCTGAAAGGATGCTTGGCAGTGGATGTGTCTGGTGACAAAAGCAAAGTCCGATGCTGTAAAGAGTAGTGGTGCACAAGAACCCGGAATACGAGATCTCTGAACCGAGGTAAGCTAGATGTGGTCACACAGGAGACGGGAGAATTAAACATCGACGTCTTGGGTGTCAGGGATGGGAATGGGTGAATTTAATTCAGGTGATCGCTGCTGTGTGGGCAAGAATCCCTTAGAAGGAAGGGAGTAGCCCTCATGGTCAATAAAAGGGTGAGAAAAGCAACACTTCAGTACTGCTGTCAGTAAAATGACTGAATGATGTTGTTTGAATCCAGGGGAAATCGTTCAACATTACAGTGATACAAGTCTAGCCTCCAACCACTGATGCCAAACGGGCCAAAGTGAATCAGTTCTATGACAACCTACAGGATCGGTGGTGCTAGAAATAGCACCAAAGTGTCCCATTCATCATAGGTGGTTGGAATGCTAAAGTAAGAAATCAAAAGATAATTGGGATAAGAGGCAGTTGTGGCCCTGGAGTACAAAATGAAGCAGGGCAGAGAATAAGGGAGTTTGGTTGAGATAATTCTCTGGGCACAGCAAACACTCTTTTTCAACAACCCAAAAGAAGCTGCTCCAGGTGGGGAAATCAGATGGGTTATACACTTTGTAACCAGAGGTGGAGAAGCTCTACAAAATCAGTTAAAACACGACCTGGAGCTGACTGTGGCTCAGATCATGAGCTTGCAAAATTAAGACTTCAATTGATGAAAGTAGGGGAAACCATCCAACCACATAGATATGACCTAAAAAGCATCCTTTATGAATATGGAGATGATGAATAGATTTAAAGGATGGGATTTGGTAAACAGTGTACAAAAAACTATAGACAGAGGTTTGCAATAGTCTATAGTAGGCAGCAGCAAAAAACATCCCAAAGAAAAAGATCAAGAAAGCAAAACGGCATCTGATGAGGCTTTACAAATAGCAGAGGAAAGAGGTAAAGGGAAAGATATGCCCAACTGAATGCAGAATTCTAGGAAATAGGAGGGAGAGATAAGAGGATTTTCTTAAATGAACAATGCAAAGAAATAAAAAAAAACAATAGAATGGGAAAGAGAAGAAATCTCTTTAAGAACATTAGAGATGTCAAGGAAATATTTCATGCAAAAATGGACATGATAAAAGACAAAAATAGTAACAGAAGTAGAAGAGATTAAGAAGAGGTAGCAAGCTTTTCACACAAATAAAGTCAGAGCTAAACAACTGGAAAAATATTAAATGCTCATGGGTAGGCTGAGTCAATATAATGGAAATGACAATTCTATTTAAATCAATCTATTCATTCAGTGCCATACTAATCAAACTATCAAGAAATCATTTTGTAGAGCTAGAAAAAATAACGACATTCATCTGGAAACACAAAAGCTCCAGAATGTCAAGGGAATCAATGAAAAACAAATGTGAGAGAAGGTGGTCTAACCATACCAGATCTCAAACGGTATCATAAAGCAGCAATTATCAAAACAACCTAGTACTGGCTAAGAAGTACAGTGGTGGATCAGTGGAATAGATTAGGCACATATCACATTATCGTAAATGACCACAGTAATTGAGTATGTGATAAACCCAAACATCCAAGCTTTGAGGACAAAAACTGCTGGGAAAGCTAGAAAACAGTGTGGCAGAACTAGGTATAGACCAACATCTCACGTTGCATACCAAGATAAGGTAAAAATGGGCACAGGATTTACAAATAAAAGGTGATACTATAAGCAAATTAGGAGAGCAGAGAATAGTTTACCTATCGGACCTATGGATAAGGGAAGAAATCAGAATAAAACAAGATACAGAGAGCACACAAAATATAAAATAGATCATTTTGATTATAGAAAATAAAAAGATTTTGCACAAACAAAAGCCAGTATTACCAAAATTGGAAGGAAAGCAGAAAACTTGGGGCAAATTTTTGCAGCAAGTATCTCTGATAAAGGCCTCATTTCTCAAATATGTAGAAAATGGAGTCCTATTTATAAATCATTCCCCAATTGATAAATGGTCAAAGGATATGAACAGGCAGTTCTCAGAGGAAGAAAACAAAGCTATCTATACTCATTTGAAGAAATGCTCTAAATCACTATTGATTAGAGAAATGCAAATTAAAATAACTACCTCACACCTATCAGATTGGCTAATATGATTTTAAAAAAAAGGAAAATGTTGGAGGTTGGAAGGGATGTGGGAAAACTGGGACACTAATGCACTGTTGGTGGAGTTGTGAACTGATCCAACCATTCTGGAGAGCAATTTGGAAGTATGCCCAAAGGACAATTTAACTGTGCATGCCCTTTGACCCAGCAACACCACTGCTAGGTCTATATCCCAAAGACATCCAGAAAAAAGGAAAAGGACCTACTTGTACAAAAAAAAAAACCATTTATAGCTGCTCTTTTTGTGCTGGCTAAGAACTGAAAATCAAAGGGATGCCTATCAATTGGGGAATAACTAAATAAGCTGTGATATATGATTATGATAGAATATTATTGTACTATAAGAAATGACAAGCAGGATGATTTCAGAAAAGCCTGGAAAATCTATGTGAACTGACGCAAAGTGAAGTGAGCAGAACCAGGAGAATGTTGTACACAGTAACAGCCACATTGTGTGATGACTGACTTTGATAGGCTTGGCTCTTCTCAGCAATGCAAGGATCTAAGATAACTTCAAAAGTCTCACGATGAAGCAGACTTTCCATTTCCAGAGAAAGAACCGACATTGTTTGAACACAGACTGAGGCGTGCTATTTTTCACTTTCTTTTTTTCATTTTTTTCTTTTATTTGAGGTCTTCTTGAACAAAATGCTTAATATGGAAATGTTTTACGTGATTGCACATATGTAATCTATATCAGATTATTTACCATCTCGGGGAAGAGGGAGTAGAAAGGAGGGAGGGGTAGAATTTGGAACACAAAACTTTTTAAAAAAGCAATGTGAAAATTTTGTTTTAACGTGTAATTGGGGAAAAAGTAAAATATTTAGAAAAAAGAAGAGGTGGTAAGAATACAGCAAAGAAGTATACAAGAAAAATCTTAACATAATTAATAACCTTGATGGTGTGGTTCCTGATCGAGAGTTGGACGTCCTAGATAATAAAGTCAAGTGGGCCTTGGGAAGCATTGCTAATGATAAGGCTGGTGGAGGTGATGGAATTCTACTTGATCTATTTAAAACCGTAAAAGATGATGATGCTGTTAAAATGTTGCACCCAATGTCCCAGAAAATTTGGAAAACTCAATAGTGGCCCCTGGATTAGAAAAGATAAATTTACATCCTAATCTAAAGAGAGACAATGTCAAGGAATATCACCAAACATTTGTACTCATTTCATATACCAGCAAGGTTATGCTTAAGATTCTGCAAGCTATGCCTTTTCAATGAGGGTGGGTGGGGAGGGAGGAAGGGAGATAATTTGGAACCCAAAGTTTTAAAAACACATATTTTAAAAAAAAGTTTTTGCATGCAACTGAGAAATAAGAAATACAGGAAATGGAGTACAGAAATCTATCCTGCCCTACAGGAAAGTAGAAGGTGAAGGGGATAAGAGAAGAGGGGGAGAGATAGAAGGGAGGGCAGACTAGGGGAAGGGATATTCAGAATGCATGCCATCTTGGGGTGGAGGGAGAGGCGAGATGGGGTGAAAATTTGGAACTCAAAATCTTGTGGAAGTAAATGTTGAAAACTAAAAATGAATAAATTTAAAAAGAAAAAAAAGAGATTCTGCACGCTCGGTTTCAGAAATATGTGAACTGAGCATTACCAGAAGAGCAAGGGAGCTCCAGAAAAGCATCTACTGCTTCACTGACTCCACTAAAGTCTTTGACTGTGTGGCTCCCAACAAAACGTGGCAAGTCCTCAAAGAGATGGGAGTACCAGGCCATATTACTTGTGTGAGGAGCCTGGCTGCAGGTCAAGAAGTAGCAGATAGGGGACAGGTAGGTGGCACAGTGGATAGAGCACTGGCCCTGGATTCAGGAGGACCTGAGTTCAAATCCGGCCTCAGACACATAACACTTACTAGCTGTGTGACCTTGGGCAAGTCACTTAATCCCATTGCCAAAACAAAAAACAAAAAAGAAGCAGCAGATAGAACCGAACATGAAGCAACCTCTTGGTTTAAGATTGGAGGAGTGTGACAAAATTGTATATTGTTACCTTATCTATTTAACTTTAGCTAAAGCAGAGTTCATCATGTGAAATGCCAGGCTTAATGAATCAAAAGCTGGAATTAAGGTTGCTCGGAGAACAATCTCAGATATGCAGATGATGACACTCTGATGGCAGAAAG